AATCGCAGAGGCTGAGGCCCTGCCCTGCCCTGCCCTGCCCTCCCTTCTTCCCCACTCACGGCCAGAGCACAGGTGAAGGAGGCACCATGAGTGGGCACTCCAGCCTTCCTTTCCAGCAGCCACTCTTCTTCCCTGCTCACTGCTGGCACCCGCAGCACATGAGGAAAAAGGGCAGGGCAAGCACGTGTCGGCTGCCATGGTCAGTCTCTTCCCTGCTTGCTGCTGCTGGTGGCACCGGCAAGCACACAAGAGTGGCACTGCTTGTGCAGAGCATGGGACTCAGTTCCTGGCAAACACCCTGAAAAGCCGGCATGCCTACCAGGAACTCTGACTCCAGACTGCTGCAATTTCTTGCATGTCCACCATCACCACCACCATCATATCACATTTCTATATCGCCATAGCTAAAGCTTTCTGGGTGGTTCACAACTTTTAAGTCACCCATCCAGGTTTCATCCAGGCCCGGCCCTGCTTAGCTTCCAAGGTTAGGCAGGATCAGGCACTTCAGGCTATATGAGAGCTGGTGTCTGAGCCTCCTTCCCACCCCATCCCTGGTACTCTAGCCAGCTGCCTGGGGGGCAACAGCACCAGCTTTCTTTGGTTAGTAGAGATGTGGCTGGCACTGGCCACACTTTCAGAATCCCGTTCCTTCTGAGATTAGGTGGCATCCATGTATCAGCTGAGCAAAAAATCAGTGTATAAACAGTGTATTGATCTTGTTGTAAAGTATTTTGAGGTGGCTTAGTCCTGAATGGAGAAATAAGACACTTTAGCATTACAAAATACTTGCTTGTCATGGAAACAAAAACTGCTAGGACTGGCCCCATCGGTGCGGGTGTTCAAGGATACGCTGGACGTCCACATGGTGGGCATGTCGTGAGCGGAGCCGGCTGGTACCGGAGGTCAGACTAGATGGCCCGGGAGACCCCTTCTGACTCACTCTGTTTTCTATGTTTTCTATGTTTGTTCCGATGGATCAACAAAGCTGCCTGAATTTTTGGGCCTTCCTGGGTGTCATGGTGAGGGGGGCAGTCATGCTGAACACTTGCTCCTCAAAGTCACTCATGACACCATGATAACTATCAGGACATGTGAGACATTATTAACCAATTACACAGAGAGCCATAATATTGGCATGAGCCATTCTGAACAGCTATTTCTTCCAGAACTAGCCTTCCCCAGTTTTGCAGACAACCATTGAAAGAAGGTTAAAATTTGGCTGTGAGGCCTATTTTACTGGCAGTAGATTCAGACAGAAAAGAAAAAGCTTCTTCAAGCAATGCATAATTAACTTCTAGGAAGAGTTGCCAAGAATGTGGTGTTGACCAGTGGCTTACAGGGCTTTCAAGAGAATTTCTGCCTGCTTTGAGACATAAGCAGGGGGCATGTTTGGCAAGGGTGGGAGGCAGGGTGGGAAGGGAGTAAACAGTGGCACAGGCCCAACACAGCTAAGGGGGCTGCAGAGAAGACAAATGAGGCATGGCCAGGTCAGAGGCTGAAACAGAGCCACCCACGAGAGGCTGCCACTGCAATGACAGGGAGGGGGAGATTTTTATAAAGCTTCCGGTGATTCCCGGTCAGCCTGCCTGAGTGGAGTAGTAAGAATCCCACAGCCATGCCCGGCACTTAACCCTGCAAGCATCCACCTTCGCTGGGAAACTGAGCCACTTGAAGAAGCTGCAGCTCTTCTGCAGGATCCTGGCCACTACAAAGATGCATCCATCAAAGGCTGACGGCTAAATAACAGCAACAACAAGCAACGACGTTTGCTCTGATCTGGCAGGGCTCCTCTTCAGTTCAAAGAATTCATGGCACTTCCTTTTGAATTTCTTCAACTGTACACTTCTAAAACAATCTAAAATAGCTTCTTCATGCCAAATTCCTTTAACTTTTGTTTTAAACCAGCTACTGTTGAAATGCTGAGTTTTGCCACATTTTTGCTGTCTCAAAATTATCATATTTTATTGATTTTCATAATTAAAATGACTGCTAGTACAGTACTAATTGATTTTGTGATGAAACAATTAATGGCGATTAATATTTAAAGCTATTAGCATCAGAAATTTTTCTTCCAGCTGTCATTTGCTGTCTCTTAATTCATGCCCTTAGGCAGAAGATGTAAAACAGCAAAAACTTTCCTTGACCAGATGTCTGCAGAGGCGGTTTCCTCTCTCCACGCAGGACTGCGTGTGTTCGGCATTCCTTGGTATTCTGGTCATTATTTTGCAATCTGCTATGAATACTTTAGTGTCTTGCCAGTTTTCATTCTTCAGTCACCTACCTTCTGCTTACTAGACATGAAAGGTTTTGCAAGGGTATTCATTAGGGATGTGTAAGAAATTTGCTACACTGAAGTATTGTTTAGGGATTTTTTTCACTTAATTCGCATCCACACAGCCCCAAACACAATTCGCAGTCAGGAACCCATACCATTCCACGCATGTAACACATTTTACAAAACAGAAAATAATTGTTCAATAACATTCACACATTTGAAAAATGTACAAAGAAACATGTACATACTTTCCAAAATGCACACAAACATGCTTTAACTAATTGGTGGATGTGGCCGAAAGTACACACAGAAATGTGTACATTGTCAAAAATGGATATGAATTTCTGTACAGATTTTAAAATAATAAATGCAGGGGCAAGGGCTTTGACCTCAAAGATGCAAACAATCTCAGTGGAGCTGAAGCAAATGGATCAATGCATCCATACTATTCTTTAGGATCATCGCATGAAATTAAAACAGAGCTGATTATGGTGCAGGACTTCTGTACTGCCTTCTTGCAAGAACCCAGTGGTCACTTGGCACCTTCATTTTTGATGTCTTTACTTCTCCGTTCCATTTCATATGGGCATGTGTATGTGTTTCAATGACATATGCACATTTTCACATATAATAATCAGGAATAATCACCAGAAGAAACATTTTAAAGTGTTTTTAAATGCCAAGCTTGCCTGAAAGTGTATTTGAAATTAGTGTCTATTCCTTGTTACATATGATCTCATAAAACAGAAAAATGACCATGAATAAATAAAGCACTGGAATAACATGTTCACTTCACAGGTTTAATTCCAATTTAAGTCAGTAGTAGAGTGGTTATTTCTTGCATTTCTGAGCAGGGTTGGGAAAGATACCTGTCTGAAAGCCTGGACAGATGCTGTCAGTCCATGTAGTGAATATTATTGGGATTTACTTCTGAACAAACAATGCATACACCATCAGACTTTAAGAAAGAAAATCTATTTGAGGGCAGAGAGGGAATTGGATTCTCTCACCCACAAGTTATTTTATGATGTTTGTTAAAATAAAACTATTAAAATGTCCTTTATCTCCAGCTAGTTCCTTCACCAAAGGAGCAAATAAATCAATAAAATAAAATGAGGTGAGGAAGATAAGAGAACTATATGCTCTCAGACAGAAATTTTACTGATTATTCTTACCAAATAACATGCAAACGTTGCTTGCATCTTTTATCTAGAAGAATCAGTCTGAAATGATAACGGCAATTCTTAGATCCTTGTAATTTCAAATTCTCTGCAGGATTTTAGGCAAAAGTCCCCCCCCCCCCTTCAGTCTAGTCATGTTTGCAATCTGTAGCCATTTAATGGGGAGTAATCCTATTAAATGCACTGGAATATACTTCTGAAATATGCAAGGATGGTATTGTGGTACATAGGCACTTAGGTGGGATTGTGTGCCCTAAAGACTTTTCTGTCTTAAATGTAGGTGTGTGTGCTCCTGTAGAGTTAATACCAAAGTAAAAAGTGGCCATATTTGGGCGACACGCTCCAGATGAACTAAAAAACCCTGATAGTGACACATCAGTCCATGGCACAGTTCTGCCAACTCTTACTCCAGTTTTCAGCAATCCGGTGCCCTCCAAATGTGTTGACTGCAGCCAGCATGACTGGGAATTATGGGTGTTGCTTTCCAACTCACCTGGAGGGCACTACTGCCCTGGCCTTTGGTATTCAGCAGGAGGAGGTGCACCAACGTGCTGAATGCATGAGGCTCCCTGGGCTAGCCTGAGGCAGTGCTGCCAGGGTCTCCCGTGCACGTCCCACCCAATATGTCTCAGAAAACGTCTCAGCATGCACACCCAGGCAGCCCCTGGGGGTGAGAAGGGAGCTGGCCAGTCAGTGCCCCGCCTCCTGATCAGGAGCTTTCCACATTTAAATCTGTAAATGAAAGGCAACGCTTTCCAACCGCAAACAGGCATTTGCTGGTGGAAGGTGGCGGCAGCAAATGGGTCTAGCCACATGGCTCCCCACCCGCCCATGTTCATCTAATATACAGAGGAGGCATGTGCACCACCATAAAGGCACATTTGGTTTGGTTCCTGTCTTAGCACTTTTTCCCAAGAAATATATTGGGCAACACCGAACAACATATGAGTGGACTTTTGTTCATGAAGCTAGACTTCCCTTCCCTTCCCAAGCACCAGGGCTTTTTTTGTCATAGAATGCACCGGAATGGCGTTCCAGCACCTTTTTTTTGATGGATTTTTCCAAGTGATTGTGAATCGCCCTGTTGGGCATAGCAGGTCGGCAGCAAAAATCATTAATATAGTGCCTGCAGGCTGCTTGTGTGTCGACACTGATTGTCGGCGCTGATCGTGAGGGCGCTGCTCGGCTTGGGATCGGTCGTGTGGTTGCGCGCTGAGTGCTTACTGCCGGTGGTGACCATTGTGTAAAAGTGTGACCCCAAGATGTGAGTTCTGGCACTTTTTTTTTTTTTTTACAAAAAAAGCACTGCCAAGCACTAACGTGCATACCCACCCAATCTGCTCTGGTGGGTCTCATTCTGGTGGGGCATGAAGAATACGGCAGAAAGGGCAACGTTGTTCCATCTACAGTGTCCATTCCACTGTAGATTCACCTGTGGATGTCACCCGCTGGAACACACAGCTAGGACAAATGGCTTATTCTTTGTCAGGAATGAACTATTCCCCACCGGAGATATCTAGGCTCCTGGAGGCATGTGATGGAACTAGTTCTCTTGTCTACCTTACACCTGGATTCTGCATTTTCAATAATTCAAGCAGATTCAACCCACCCTGCAAATAAAAACTGAGAAAAAGTTGATACATGAGGCATAATGGGAGGGAGACTCTACCTGTTCATAATTAATCATTCCCAGTCTACATGGAAAATCAACATATAACTATCTGCTTATTTTATTTTCCATAGACAACTGTGTTTTTTTAAATCCCTAAAACATCATATTGGTACAGATGGATGGGTTAAAAACATACGGAAGGGCAGGTTCCTTTCCTATCTACCATCCTGAAGGCACCTTCTCATAGCACTCTTCCACTATTTGTGTTTGGCCTCGGTCGCTAAAGCATTTGTTTTCTCCCCTCTTCACAGAAAATCACTGTGACTTGGTATTATGTGAAAACACAGAGCATTGATTCCCAATGCGGTACATTATCTCCAAATTACTCAATAACAGAATGCTGCAGAACAAGCAAATGAGTAGAATTAAATCCATAGAATACCAACACCTCCCACAGTTTTTGCTGAATAGCTTAATAATGTCTTAAGCATGCTATCAACTCTTAAGTATTAGATTTCACCATGTTTTCTACATCTGAAGAATGTTTCTGCAGATAAGTTCCTATAAAAACCAAAATTGGCTATCGAATGCCTTGCAGCATGTCCTTACTTAAAGATCTCAGAACCCCTATAACTGTGCTATGAAGAAGGAAAGCAAAAAGTCCTGTCCAAATATCACTTTGATCCAGTGAAGAACCCTACATTATCAGAGTTGTTGATACCTCATTCATAATTATGGTACAGCATTTTATTTATTCGTTTAAAACTTGTGCATCCAGTCCTGATGTCTTGGGATGGCCTACAACAAGAAGCAAACAAAATACCAAAACAAAACAAACACAGCACCCAGTAAGTCAAGGGTTTACTCAACCCTTGCCCCTCACGGCTCCTCACCAAAGCCAAAAATGGGACAAGCACCTGGGTCCGGGAGGTCATCAACGCCTCTCGGAGGGAGGACTGGGTCCCAGCCCCTTTGAAGGAGGTGGTGATCAGGCCTGTCCTGAAGAGGGTGTCTCTGGACCCAGAGATGGATGCCAACTTTAGGCTGGTGCCAATATCCCATTTTGGACAAGGTGCTCAAGTGGGTGATGGTGGAACAACTCCAGGTACTCTTGGAGGAAACTGACCATCTAGACCTATTTCAGTCTGACTTCAGATGCAGCTATGGAACTGAAACTGCCTTGGTTGCCCTGTATGATGACCTGTGCAGGGAGAGGGATGGGGGAGTGCATCCCTGTTGGTTATCTTGAACCTCTCAGCAGCTTTCGATACCATCAACCATGGTATCTTCCTGGATAAGCTGCCCGGGTTGGGAGTTGGAGGCTCTGCTTTGTGGTAGTTCCACTCCTACCTGTCTGGCTGATTCCAGAAGGTGGTGCTGGGGGGATTATGGCTCTGCACCATGGCAGCTTTGCCATGTAATTCCACAGGGTTCCATTTTATCCCCCATGTTTTTCAACATCTACATGAAATCACTGGGAGAGGTCATTTGGAGGTTTGGGTTGCAGAATCATCAGTATGATGATGAGACTGAGCTCTACCTCTCCTTTACATCTAGTCCAGGTGAGGCAGTGGCTGTTCTTAACTGGTGCCTGGCTGAGGTAATGGGCTGGATGAGGGCCAATAAATTGAGGCTTAATCCAGACAAGAGGGAGGTCCTGTTGGTGGGTGGTTCAGCCTTCCAGGTAGGTGATCTTATTCCTGTCCTGGATGGGGTTGCACTCCCCCTAAAGGATAGGGTTTGCCATTTGGGAGTGCTCCTTGACCAAGAGCTATCCCGGGGGTTCCAGGTGGCAGCAGCGGCGAGGAGTACTTTCCTTCAGCTTTGGCTGATTCACCAACTGCATCCTTACCTGGATGAGCATTGCCTTGCAATGGTGACTCACACTCTGGTAACTTCCTGACTGGATTATTGTAATGCATTCTACATGGGGCTGCCCTTGAAGATGGTCTGTATACTTCAATCGGTTCAGAATAGAGCTGCCAGGATGTTAATGAAGACCGCCCAGTATTCACATATAATGCCAGTCCTCTATTGATTACACTGGCTGGGCCCAATTTAGAGTGCTGGTTATGACCTATAAAGCCCTAAATGGCTTGGGTCCGGGATACTTGAAGGAACACCTTCTTCCCTATGTGCCTTTCCACCCCTTAAGACATGTGGAGGTCCTGCTCCAGAAACCCTCCTTGAAGGAGATTAGGAGAGTGATGACCCAGAGGAGGGCCTTCTCTGTGATGGGGCCCCAACTATGGAATACGCTCCCCCCAAGAGGTTCACCTGGCGCCAACATTATATTTTTTTCAGCATTGGGCAAAGCCGTTTTTATTTTCCCATTATTTTAACGTTTAATTGATCTTAACTGGGGTTTCAGTGTTTAATTGTTGGGTGCTGTAGTGTTTGTTTTATTCTACAACAACAAATTTTAAAAAAAACCCTGAAAGAGCTCTGATGGGCAGCACTGTGAGGATGCAATGGAAGCAGAGATGAATTCCTTCTTTGCCACCCTCACTTCCCCAGCGTAAGTTCAATAATGAGCATTAAGATGTGCTCAGTCAGATTCGTCACAGAATTTCTTCCACCTGCACTCTAGTCGTCTCCCAGCCTGCTTCACTGCCCACAACTCAGGCGTACACCAAGGTGCCACGCGGACCCTGCATGACAGGAGAGGACACTTAGAAGCAATTGTGTTGATTGCCATGGTCATTTCCCCATTCCACAAATCAACCAGGGCATAGGCAGGAGGGCCATTTCTATCAGCCGGAAAATCCCCCAGAGTCCATAAGACTACAGGGACAGACCATTTTAATAGGGTCTGAACCCTTTCAGAGGGAGAAACTGGCCCTGAGTTCAAACCTCATGAGGAAGTGATCTGACCGTGACAAAGGTGTTAGAATCAAGTTCCTCACTTCCGGATCACCCTCTTCTGCGCTGTCGAGAAAACCAGGTCTAGAGTGTGACCTCTTTCATGGGTTGGGCCAGTGACCTGTTGAGACAGTGCCATGGCTGTCATGGTGGCCATGAAGTCCTGAGTTACCCCAGTCAGAACAGTCTTGGCATGGAAGTTGAATTTCCCCAGGACCAACATCCAGGGGGTTCTTAACACCAGGTCTGAGATGATCTTCATCAGCTCAGGCAGGGAGTCTGTCTCAATCACCCAGCACCAGGTACAGACACTCCAGACCTGGCCTTGAAGGGACAGGAAGGAGATTGAGATTGAATCTCAGTAGATTAGGAACACATCCCCTCCCCTTTCCTCAAGGTGAGGTTGGTGCTGCACCAAATACCTGGGTGGGCACAGCTGGGTGAGTGCCACACTCCCCACTTCTCCCGCCCAGGTCTCAGGAATGCATGCCAGGTCAGCCCTCTAATCCATGATTCCTATCATCCAGGAATCCATGATTAAATCATGGATCATAAATGTTTTGCTTTTGACTGGCCTGGCATTCAACAGCAGCAGCACCAAGCCTGAGGGCTGGTTGATATTACCTGGGGCCTTCTGGATGGAAGAGAAACCAGAAGAGGGGACAGTTATTAACCATCTGCCCCACACCTTTTCCTGTAATGATGTATTAAACTCCCAGCATCTTATCTTTCCTTGCCCCTAACCACCCCAATGGGGTGACCTCCCACTCCCCAGGAACTCCCATAACAGTTAAAACTAGTTGAAACAGTTAACAGTTAAAACTAGGTAAAACAATAATAAAACTAGGATGCTGTGCGAATAAAACAGAGTCCAATTACACAATTGCACATGCCTCTGGCTCCATACAAAAATAAAACCCAGCCTCCCCGCTTAAAATAAAACCAACAGAACTCCTGTCTCAGCCCAGCCCTGACCGACCCCAAACGGCCCCAGTCAGCCCCAAATGGCTAAATGCCCTTTGGATGCTGGCCTTAGACCACAGCCGGCAAGATGAAGGCTCCAGCCCCACCCCACCTCCGTGAGCACCAGCCCCCACCCTCTCTTGTACAGCCTTGAGTGCCTAGTTCCTCTAGATGACCTCCATGGCCCCTTAAAAATCCCTCCCATTGGGCCACCTGAAGAAGGTGTTGCAGGCAGGAGACTGGACACTAGTATCCACTGAACAGGTGGAGAAACACCTTATGCCCACATATGGTGGGCTAAAACTAACAAGATAAGTTATGGTACTCCTCAAAATCCCTGTTTAACCTGATTAGCACTACAGCCTCATATTGCAGAGAAGTCGTGGTTTGTCTGTTCCAACCTAGTGAGCTGCTAGCTGAGGTGACATTTGAACCAGGAGCCTGGGGATTCACAGCTTACATTCTAAGATATTATACTAAACAAATCAAGCAAGCTGTTTTTCCTTTCACTTCCAGGAATGCGGCTGTTTTCATACTAAGGGAAATGAGCATTAATTAATACTGGCTTGGCTCTAAATGGATGTGTGCCATAGGACAAAAATCAGTTGGTGCTGTTCCATAAGTTCTTGCCCAAGTGGCAAGTGCTACCAGGAGATGTCTGGCAGTGCATCCAGAGCTGCCTTACAGCTGAGGAGGGTAAGTTAAACCCTCCAGATGCTTTGGCCTACAACTCCCATAAACCTTAGCCAATATAGCAAATGATGAGGGATCCAAGTGAGTTGCAAACCAAAACACCCGAAAGGCAATGCATTATCCACCCCTGTGTTTTAACATGAGCACCACAGCAAATAGGGAAAAGCAAGGGTGTCTGCATAAACCCTGGCAGGCCAAATGGTAGTCTTGAACCAAATGTGTGCAAGATCCTAGGCAACTGTAGCCATGTTCTGCAGCCGGTTATTTTGCTCTAGCAATGCTGCTTCCTAGGGTGGAAATTTATTTATTTATTTATTTAGGAGGCTTCTATGCCGCCCCATTCGCCGAAGCCTCGGGGCAGCTCGCAATAATAAATAAGGCTTTCACCACACTTCATATTAAAAAACAGTAAACCTACAATAAGAAGGTGAGGAGGTGGGATTAAACACCATGCTGAATGCGTGAACGCATGCCTCTTCCTTTACAAGAACCTTGGCCTTTATGCACACTTCCAAGGTCCACAGTCCAAGATAACAGGAAAAAATAAAATGAAGTTCTAAGTTATAAGACAACACCCTCACAAAAACCCCATAGGAAATTAATGTAGCACACAAAGTCAATGATATTTATGAAAATATTTTGGTCGGCATCATCAAAATGCCATCAAAATGACTTCTTTCACTTGGCTGCCACTCCTCTGCGTTTGTGCATCTCATGAAAGACATGCACACACATATTTTCTCTCACATGCACTCACACAAAAAGATGCAGACAGAATTTGAGATTAGGAATGTGCAACACTTGGAAAACCAATGCTCTCTGAGCCTTATGGACTTTTGATACATTTCTGACCTGACAGGCGAAAGGAGGCAACATTAGAATTTTGTTTTTGGCCCCCATAAAGTTGCTTGAAATATTTGTGCAACTTTGAAGTCAAGGACTGTGTATCTCTGTTAACAATGGGTCCAAACTGCATAGCAGACTGCTTGAGCACACATTCAAAAATACTCCATTTTCTATTGATTAAAGTACCTTTGTGCAGACTTTTAAACAAGAATGTGCTTTCCTATGCATATATATGTGTGTGTATTTACCTACATACTTTTGAATGCAGATCTTGTCATAAGCAGCATCACAAACTCAGGAATGTATGATCTTTGACTGCTGCTGGTGCTGAACTCTGTCATAAACAACTAAAACAGCATTATCGCCTATCCCTAGTCTGGTGATGCTTCATTCCTTGTGGCGGGCTGGAGGAGTCATGTTCCAAACATGTATTTTTTTGCTTCTGATGTTTCAGGCTGCCATGTTCAAGATGAGGAGTCCAGTCTTTCTTTTTCTGTTGTGGACAAGTTCTTCCCCCAGAGTAACACTCTGGGCATCAAGTAATTTCTGAATATATCCTGACGGAAGTAATGAGATTATTCAAGCAACAGAACAGAGTGGAAATCTGATTGGGGTGGTGGGATTCTCCAAGCATGCATAACTAAAAAGTATAATTCGAGGGACCTACATTTCACTTTCTACTATATGCCTTAGCTTTCTCCCAGAATCCAAAGTCTATACTATATACACAAGGACTGGGCAACAATTTACAATCTCGTAATATAAATCACTATGATTCATATAAGAACTAATGCACACTTACATCTTGAGGATCTCTTTCAATACTTTCTCTTCCAACCAGCAAGTGAAAAGTATCAGCTGTTTTAATTGAGTTCCATGATGATCTACAATGATTGCAACACTCTTTTAAAGAAGCAATTGTAACCTGGAGGTTGTGAACAAATACAATGTTCCCAACTTTGTTTTTAGTGCTAAACCCCTGCATCCTTTTAAATGTAAATTGAGTCAATAAATATCTGAAATTGCCTGCATACCCTAAAAGGAAATGTATATTGCTTGTTTCTGTATATCTTAAATTTCCTAGTTGCAACTGTTTACTTGCATTTTAGATAGACCTCCATCTGTTGACAACTCTTGTCTCTGCTGAATATTGTGGATTCCTCTGCATTGTAAAAAGTCAGGTATAGTAGCTCTTGCAATGTGGATATGATCTGCTAGTTTCTCCTTTGTTGCTGTTCTCAAAATGTGTAGCCCTTTCAAGGCATTAAGAAACATTTACATGAGGCAAACTCTAAATTGTGGTTTTTCTAAATTATATTTTGTTGTAGCAACACAACTTTACGATCTATGGTTTAAGATCAGGGCTTAATTGAGGGTCATTTCCATCACAACGAGTCATGGTTTATCATGATAAGTCATGGTTTATCATGACATCTGAAAGTACCTATGTGAACTCAGCTGGTCATGTGTCCTCACAACTGAAAACCCATCTCATGATTCAAAAACAAGTGAAAAAAAAAACTGGAGGGTCTGGAAAGCTCTGGGAAAGAATTCTTAGTCAGAGCTTAAAGGGGCAATTATGGATGCTTCAGGAATTGAGACCTTTGTGAATTCCTTTAGGAAATTATCTAATCCACACCCTTTGAATGAATCTGTGGATAGAATTTGGCTGTCCGCTGCATTTCACACCTTTCTGCATCTAAATAGTTTTCAGCAATCTGGACATTCTTAAAATTGTAGCATGAGAGAAAATACATATTATCCTTATAGTAAAATATGTACATATTTTGAGGTAATTACTTTTCTTAAAGAAATCATGGATACAGAAAAAGAAATGGAGTGGAACTGTGGGTGACACATACATATATGACACAAAGAAAAAAATAATCCATCCTTTGGTGTATTTTCAAATCACCATCTAACCAGTTTTTAAGGTTTCTGTATTAAGGTCAGCCTCTTGGATTCAGAGAATTGTCATTTTTATAGCAAGTAGCTTGATGAACCACCAGAGTGAAAAGCATAATTTTTTTGTCTTATGCCCTCTGTATGCAGAAGTCCACTGAATACCATCACTGAAAAGCTGATGTAAGGAGGGAAAGGCTTTGACAAGATGAAGGAGTGGTATGTTCCCAGTTATAACAGAACACATCTATTAAAACCTATAGGGAAATAAATAAAAATTGCTTCCAGCCAGAATTATTAAGGCTGTCTCATGCCAAGTACAGGAGCAAAAGCAATGCATTTAGGAAGCCATCACTGGGATTAGAGGAAACTAATGGATTTTAAAATTCTTATTCATCAGACAGAGACATTAAAACAAGTCACATTTTGTTATAAATATGCACAGTTCTGGCCAAAGACCCATAGTTCCTACCACCATTCAGCAAAAGAACTAATATTACTAAAAAAATTACAATGACCCAACTCAGCTGTTTGAACTCAAGCAAATATGAACCATACTTGGGAGATGTTATTATTAAGACTGCGTCATTACCAGGATTGCATGGAGAGTGAGGCTGCCCTGCCCCCATTTCTGTCCCCAGGATTTATTTATTTAAAGTTTTTATATGTCATCCCCTTGCTACATAGCCTCGGGACGGCTCACAGAAATAAATAAGACAAAAACAATTACAATTAAAACC